GCTCCACTTGTGCACCTTCCCACCCTGCAGTGCTGCCCCGCCTCGTTATTTCTTCAATCTCGATGTTAGTCTTGTCAGGAAAAGAAATGCCAGCACAAACCAGGCCTCTTGCCTCAGCAAAATCAGAAGATACTGAAGTTCCCCTTGGGAAAATCAGCAAGATATTTTTATTTTGAATGTGCTTTTCCCACTTCCTTCTGTTTTGAAGAAGGAGATGGGGATAGTCATACTGTGTGGCCTCAGGCTCCCCACTTCACCAGCCAGTTTCTCCTTTCTAGTCTATGAACCTGGAGATGTTTCCCCAGAGGAAGGCTCAGACCAGGAGCCTGACGTAGGTTCCCTGAATTGCTCCCAAAGCGCTCCCGGAGGGGAGCCCCCCTGCCAGCCAAGGTGCATCATCCAGGGTCGCTCTGTTCCCTCTGCAGTGTATCAAGACAGCCGCTTTACACAGCTGAAGCTCCCAGTCACCCCCAGCTTGCCTACTTGCACAGACAGTAAAAAGGAATAATCTGGAAAGGCAAGAAGGACACGCAGGGGAAGACAACTACTTTTACCCTGACTTAGATGTGGGGATCCAAGGCAATGCCTTGCGAGTTAGCCAACACAGACCAAACACCGTTATGCAGAACTCCCACAGCCCGACCTGACAGGACTACCGAACCTCCACTTACAGACCAAATTCATTGAATTTGTGGCGCAGGCAGAGGATTTCCATTGCTTGCTCTCCTATCCAGTGTGTACAACCAGCCATGGAGGAAGGTCCTGTTTCTCAAGGTAACACAAAAATAATAATGATCCATACAGATCCTTACTAAGATTGTAGAAAGAGCAATCGTCATAGCAGCACTACCAAACTCAGATGTCCTACTGCCCAAAGAAATTCAGATACCACATCCTGTTCACACTGAGGAAATGCATCAGTATTTAATATTTGTACTATTATTTTAGTGCTCCCCAAGTCATGTAAGATGTTTCCTGAGCCATATGAAAAAATGTTCCCTACTCACAAGGGGTACACAAATCTAGTTTTAGACCCAACACCATGACAGAGGACACAAAACAGCTTAGGACAATAGGGCAGAAAGCAAGATGGTGGCTTTTATCCTGTGCTCCTCCTCAGTCCTTTCTGTTTTAACAGCTTGAGTTAAAGATCACATAGCACTACAGCACAAGGGTCTCAGGCCATGGGGACCTCTGGTGGCACTGGGAATACCTGGCTGCCTTTTTCAAACCCTGAAGTGGCAGGGATTGCCTAAATGTCCATTGTGGAATGGATGCCAAAAGCCCCATTTGTTCACCAAAAAGCTACCAGAACTGCAAGTCGTCCCCACCCCCAAAGTCTGCAACACAGTTTTTGTCTCAGTCGAGACAAAGACCTGTAGCATTCTTAAAATATGAAAGCTACATAAATGAAGGTGAAAGAAAACCCCAAGCCTGAACACGGTACAAAACAAGTCACTCACCGGATGTTGTGCCCTATCTTACTACATTTCATTCAACAGGACCTCCGAATGGCGCATCCCAGCGACAGTCTGCTTTGAGATGCTGGTTTGGATACACCAGCACGGCTTTGCTGGAGCTGAGGGAAATGGGCTGTCCCAAGCAGTAGTGACCCATCCATGCATGGTCCTGCAGTGCCTCAAGGTCTCCCAGACACCTCTGCACTGCCCACCTGCCACACAACAACTTTCCCTATCAGCTTTTGCAGATCCCTTCTAGTATTTGCCATCCTCTCAATTCACTGGCATGTCCCTACTCTGTGCCACCATCCATCCCCCAGCATAAAGCCTCTCATACTACAACAGGCCTTTCTTCTTCATCATAGCAGTCTCTTGGTACTGGTTGGCCTCTGGATCCAGCAGCCAACCTTCTCCACAGCTCTTTCAGGGCCTGTGCCTGCACCTGGCAACACGCCCCTTCAGACGTGGCCCATCCACGTGCCTCCATAGATCTTCCCATCCCTGGAAACACTCAAGACCAGGTTGGACGGGGCTCTGAGCAACCTGATCTAGTTAGAGGCGTCCCTGCTCACTGCAGGGGGGTCAACTAGATGACCTCTAGGGGTCCCTTCCAACCCAAAACATTCTATGATTCTATGAGTCTATAAAAGATTCTTAGAGCTTACAGGGTATCTGTGTGCCCCGTAGTTTCCCTCACCAACTCCCTGATGTATTTTCCATTGGGGCATGGGAGAAAGGCTGCAGACCTTATTCAGCACCCCAAGGGCTCTCCAGCACTCAGGGACACAGGGCGGACTGGCCCAGGAAGTGATAAAGACTTCCGGAATCTGGCAGAAGCATAGGGTGGGGGAAAAGGGCACCATGAGTTTGGTAAGGAAGGGCCTTCCTTACCAAGAGACGGCTGCCAAGCGCCACACTCCTGGAAAGCCAAAGCTCCTGTCATTCAGGACAAACGCAGGCCCTGTTTACAGGAAAGGCTCTCTGAGCTAATCCTCAAAAGACCAGCACCTCCCAGCTCCATGCCATGTAGAAACCACTCAGGCTACAGGAAAAAGGGAAATTTATCTCCTGACCTATCCTGCACAATTAGTGATGGCAACTAACAAGAAGCCATTGCTTGCCCAGCCAGGTTCCATGGTACAGAAAGTCAAGCAACATCAAGAGGGTCCTTCCCCACAAGGGTTTTCGAGAAGACTCGGTGCCACCAGCCACACCCGCAGGGACACAGGACTTCACCAAACAGCACCATGTCTTTGTGTCAGTCTCCAAACAGATTTGTCCAAGCATCCAGACAGCTAACTAACTACAAAAAAACAACACAGGGTAGCTAAAGGAGAAACCCCAACGTTACCATCTTCAAATCTGAGTGCAAAACAAACTTGTCTTGCCCATCTTTAGCATGGAGCAGCAAGTATATTTTGAAAGCATACTCTACCCCACCCATCTGTAAAGAAGAAAAAAAAAAAAAGTCACCAAAACAATACTCCGACTACAGTATTCTCTCTCTGAGGAAGAAATGAACAGCACGTGATGTGTAATAACATCCTTTAGTGCATGTCATACAGAGAAACAACAACTCTGGGTAAGGACACAGGAAAAGCTGCCGCCACCATCACTCTATGCCATTGGCAAGGGCACCACCTATTGTCGAGCTACCCCATGCGTTCCACCAGCGGACAAAACCTTTAATTATACTTTAATGATTTGGGCTGAAAATCTGTGTTTGCCACAAGCAGTATTTTTATTTTACCGCACTTCGGCTTTCAGCCTTAAAGTTCAAATCATTTCCATAAGTAAGGACAGACTAAAATATTCCACTTCTGATATTTAAACAGGGAGAAGGACTCTCAGAACCACCCCCAGGCGCTGCTGAGGAGGAAACTCCCAGCTGCAAGCAGAGAGGAGCTTAGAGCTGGTGCAGAACAGAGAGGAAATAAGGGCATGGACTGGACAGAACCTGGTGAATCAGGAAAGACTGTTTTAGCAAAGGTAGGAGTCCAGCCGTGTCTCCACATTGAACTGCTGTCCTGTCCCCAAGGAGAAGGCAAGCCTAGTAGCAGTATCTCCACTTCAAAACACAATTTGAGAGACTAATCCCCAAGCTGGACCCTGAGCCATACCTGCCAGAGCAGGTAAGAAAGGAGCATACAACCAACCAGACGTTCACCAATTCTGTGGTTGAATAGCTGTGGCTCAGAATTACCCATGTCAGATCTAAGCCAGCGTCTGCCAAGCTTTCACGTGTTCCCAAAACCTGTTTACCTGCTCTCTTGAACAGCTTATTAGTTAGGGCTTTGCTGTGCAAGTGCACAAACCTGGCTTGTTTCTGCAGCCTATCCAAGCCACAAGGCAATGAAATCATAGGAATGACTCCGCAGGAGTTACTCAGGTCAAAGCCAGTTGTCCTCGACCTGAGCGAATAAAATAGGCTGGACTCTAACCAGCACTTTGCTCTCAGGTGTCTTTCCACATTTCCAGGAACATGACACAGGAATATATGCACTCAACCTGCACAGAGCAGGCTTGGGAAAAGCCAGGCCTATGAGCTCTGAATCCAGAAGGATACAGTGATTGTGCTTCCTCGGGATCCAGCCTCATTGCCTCTGACCTCAGAAGTCTTGCTAAATGAGGCCTACCAAACTCTCATCTTTACAGTTGTCATACCTGCCCCTCTACCATTGACATACACCACTGCCTTCACACTCCCACAAAATCAGCTAGCCAACATCTCTTCAGCCACCTCAGGCCAAAAAAAGATCTGAAACCATGACCCTAATTTTCAGTAATGTGAGCATTCAGCTCCCACTCGCAACACTTAAAATCAGGCCACAAATCTGTTCCTTTTTACGCCTGCAGATGGTTGCTTCATCTCCCTACAGATGGTATCCTGAAGTCAAGGCAAGTGGCTTTCATGCATAACTCCACGACTACTATTTGACAAAATTTGATACGAGCCGAAATGTAGTCTTCCAAGGAAAGACAGAAGGCTATACTTGTGGCAAAAAAAATCCTTTATTAAACTAGATTTTGTAAATTCCTTTTCACATTAGAAATTTTAAATGCAAATTACAAAATTGTATTTCAGTAAAAAATGAAAGTTATAGTTAACAGCAAAATTACAACTTTATACAAATAAAAAATCTTTTTTTTATTTTAATTTAAAAATAGACATTGATATCTTCCAATGTACTGGTCCTAACAGCTTTTACAACTGGTAGCTGCAATACTAGGTCTTTTCACATGCGTATCCACATACAAGTCATTTAATCCTCTGCACAGTTTATTTAGCTGAAATAGCATGAACAGTTGGGCTTTGGTTGGGTTTTGTGTTCTGTGGTGGTTTTGTTTTTGGTTTTTTTACGAGAGCATGATACTTGGGAATTGTGGTAGGTCAATGAACTCTTCTTTGTTACAGTGTTCATACTCCACCTCCTCAGCTCTGCAAAGAGGGCAATATTATTCCGGAAATGTGAACTGCATTTGAAGACATAAGCACCAGTAACGTAAAGTATATGTATGATTTCTCATATTACATTTATGATGATCCTTCTTTGCCATTATCAGCAATGAAATTATTCTCTTGTCTACCCCACCACATTTTGTGGCAAGATTAAACAACAAATTGCTTACATTTCACCTCCTCAGGTAAAACCTAGAATCCATGTTCTGCTAAGCATCTTCTGTAAAGATCTTCCCTGACGCTGTATATATTCACAACACTGATGTTCCAGATGATCTAGTTCTAGTCATGCTCTAGGTTATGACTAGAGCATCTGGACATTGTTTAAATGGGGATTCCCAAGTCACAATGGTTTCCAACAGCCACAAAAAATGCCAGTAAAACTTTGCCTGAGGTGACCTTCAGTAGGCCTAGAAAAACATGTTTAAATAAAATTGTACCACATATTAAAAGCAAAAGTCAAAGACATTAAAGTATTATCAAGGTATCTTGAAATATTTTTTTAAAAAAGTCACTTTTGCCCTACTACTTTCAAAATCAACTGAAATATATTTTTAAACACACTACTTAGGAGAACAACTTTCTTCATTGCACATCTGGGCCTTTTTTTTTCTTTACTGTAAGATTACTCATAAATGCTAGCACAAGGCATTACATTTTGTATTAAAAAAGATAATTTTCCTAAATTAAAAATTGAGATAAATATTAAAATGTTGTGTAAAAAAGCAACCAAAAGTCACATCTTAAAGGCTACCAGTCATCACAACCACATGCTGTTGAATAGAATAAAAAGTGGTACACAAAATAGGTATTTTAACAGTCGCACATTATTTTAGAGTGCTGGTGGCAATACTGCTACGTGCTACTGTAATCAAAAGCATAAGATGATAAGAATTTACACGATACCTCAGCATTCTCACTGATGTAACTGTAAGCTGGAAGTTCTAAAATGTAACCTACTTTGAAATACCATTTTGAAACAATTCTATTTGGTATAATTCATCCCACTATACCTTCTAAAACCAGTCGAAGAAATACAAGTAGTCCAGTGATTTCTTTCTGGACAGTTTGGCAAGTAGCTGAAGGCATGGACATCTTATTAATAAAAGGCTACTTTCCTTCTCTCTCTGCACTGACCTTCTGCTCCATTTTGTATCCAGCTCAGCACAGCTCCTAAGCACATGCTTGAGCTCCTACGGAAGAAAAAGGCTGAGCTCATCATATTTTCTCCAAGTTGGAACTGCAATGCCTCGCCCTGAGCTGCTGAAGCTGATGGGAGGCTCTGTCACTAACCTCAACATAGGCAAGACCGGTTCTGCCCGTGTTACGATTTTAAACTATCATCTTCCATCAAAGTTCAGCCTGCAATCAAACAATTTACACTAGGCAAATGATCAGCCTATAACCAGACAGGGTATTCTGGGGTATGCCGAGTACCTTAGTCAACCTCAACCTGTACCCAAAGGGGCAATGGAGAGAGGGAGAGAGACAGAGAGAAGTACTCTAAATTGCTCTTAAACTATGTACTCCTCTGCTGACTTTGACAGACCAGAGAAAAACTCTCCTAGCAAGGGGTGGAGCTGAGGTTTTGTCCTAAACATTTTTTATGCATTTATCCAAATAGGACTAATAGACAAAAAAAGTAACATGGAGGGATATTGAAGCTCAGGGGGAACAGCTCCTTTTCTGAAGAGTCCTAGCCCTCTTCCAAAGACTGTTTATGCACTTCCTATTCTTTAATCTCTTTTGTCCCCTTGATCTTCCATTTTTAGATTGCAGTGGCAAGTTTGAAAGAGGCTCAGGAAGTGGCGATTTCAAGAATACTCTTGAGCACACTAGTTAGAGCATTTTCTGGGGAAGTGAGAGTCAAGCACAATCGTCCCTTTGCTAGGCCAGAAGAAGGTAAAAAGCTGCGTTTCTCATCTCCAGGGTAAGCTTGTCAACAACTACATTATGATGAACAGATGGGCAAGACAACAACTTTTTCTGCTTGTCTTTTGAACTGAAATCTAAGCTGTCTTTGTCCATGTGGGAATTGTGTGAACATGCTGAGTGAATCAAGCCCCCTCTCAAAACAACCAGAAGCGCTGGCACCTCCCTGTTCACAAGCACATGGTTGTAGGGCTTGAGCACCCAGTAGCTCAACACGCAACACTTCTGAGCAGACACTGGGACCTTTGCTGGGCAACTCAGCCACCCGGGCCAACCAACAGGGACTATGCTTTAAAGAGCTCCATTCGTTATAAACAGTAGCACTAAGCACAACCTGTTCAGGAGCAGAAGGAAGTTCCTTAGTCCAAAAAGAAAGATCCTAGCTCCACTGAGGCAACCCTAGCACCTGCAGCCTTGGACAGCTGACAGTCTGAACTGCTCTCTAGATTTCAAGTCCCTAAATGACATCTCAGTCCATTTTAGGCACTGTTTGCAGAGGATGGAGCATGGGCTTCACTGCACAGGACATCGTGCAGTGGCAGAAACAGCTCTGCTAGTGCTGTTTGGGGAGCACAGACCTTTTGTATTTCACTCACTGGTTACCAGAGCAGCTCAGAGAAGGAAGGAGAGAAGGGACATAATTCAGATGAACTAAGCACCCACAGAAAATATAAAACTTATTATGACAGTCTATTATTCCAGTAAGAGTCCCTTTGATTAAATATTATTCAAGCTATTCTTCCACTTGAAATCACCATGAAAAGATTACTGTATCTGTTGAAGCATGACAAACTCATTTTTCAGTCTATCATACACTGCATTCGCTGTGTATATATTACAGTAAATATGGGTATTCAGGAAGCATCACATCTTTCAGTTTGTCAGCAACTTAGACATGTTTTCAAGTGAAACCTATGTCTGTGCAGAATCTGCACACATGGATTCAGACACAAATTCTATGTGCATGTAGTTCCTGGATAAACTTTATTGCAAAAGTGGTTTAAAATGAAAAAAACCCTCCCATTAATCCTTAACGTATTAACATTATTCCTAATACACAACTCATACGTGTTCTGAAAAAGCCTTACAACAAAATTTAAATGGTTTGTAGTAAAAAGTTTGTATGCCTTTCAAGAGGTAAAGATGTAATTAAAAATTGCAATGCATTCTAGAATATATTTCTATTAAAAAAAGTTTTGATTGCTTACTGGAAACACTTGCCAAAGTACAGATGTTTATATTTAATTGGGAGGTGTGTGGGTGTGTGTTTGGGACTTTTTTTGTTGTTGTTTTTGGTGTTTTACACAAGTCTTCCTAGATGCTGATGCAACACCACCAACAACAGAGTAACTTTTGCACTCCCAGATTTTCCAGTTCGGCAATTACTACTGTAGTATTAGTGTTCACTTTGATGTTAAAAATACATTTAAAATTTCTCACAGACAATCACATTTTCTACAAGGAAATCACCAAATTTAATATACACAGAATGAAAACACATCACTATTAGACACCTGTAAAGTGAAACAGTACTCAATTTGCTCCATTTAAAAAGCCATAAAGGAAGAAACACTTTTAATCCAGTAGATGTTGAAAAAAGGGCGTTTCCTGCAAAATTACAGTATTAGCTATGTGTAAGCAGAGATTGAACTACAATGTTGTATTTGTCGCTTTAATAGATCACAGTAAGTCTGCAAAATTATCAAATACAGCTGCCCTTAATGCACAGTCCTTTATATGCAACTTCCATCATTATCAGGGGAAGTTTAAAATGGAATAAGGACAATAGAACTGGTCAACCCATCACAAAGTTATCAATAAAAAGACTACATCAGACTTTTGATGAAACCTGGAAATATTTAGCACTCAGCTGTAACTGGATTTGAAGTATCAGTAGTTGCTGAGTTCCCACCTCCCCGGTGCTCTTCTGAAGGGTTTAGCACAAAGTTCTGAATCACAAAATAACTTTGTACAAGATACTGTTTTAAAAACACAGAATCCGCAGCAATTAAAATGCGTGAGGGTCAAAAGACATAGACTGGGTATGTTGAAAAGACAGTTATATTTAAAAATTGTACCTTAATTTCCCTTTAAAACATCATATGCTGCTTAGCAGAATTCATAATCTGCACTTCTGAGACTTCAAATCCTGTAAGTGTCGTCTTTTTGCAGGTTCAAAAAAGGTTCCACTCCACACAAAAATCTTCTTGGAAACATATTGACAAAACCTCTTACTGTAAATTGAGACCATTCCTAATAAAATATCATCCTTTAAACCAGATTACAAAATACTACTGCAGTTGTTCAAAAAGTTTTTAGCTGTAATCTGACACCTCAGTTTCTATATTCCTCTTCTCGTCAACCTTTCAATTCAGCATGACTTTCAGGCAGCCTGGTTTTATTTCTGTGAACCTGTGAAACGAGAAAAGATGAAGCTTCAACATGAAAGCTATGTGCAGTGCCATCTCCTTCAGCCCTCATCAAACATATGGAAAGTGATAAGGTTCTCGGTCAAGTACGCGTGCATGTGAGAGCCAGGAAATCAGCATCATGTCCTCTGGATGTGACAGCGAAGAACGATTTTACAGGGTCTGGAAAGGTG